CTCCAGATCATCTCACCTAGAGTGCTAGCTACAGGCAAGACCTGTGTGAGGGGACTCGGTGCCAGCAACTGGAGTCTCACCAGGGGTGTAGGCACCCCAGGCCTGTGGTGTCAGCAACAGAAGTGGGTGTCTACTCCAGCCTCTAGCATGGGACCAGCATGTGTCCTGGGTGCAGCTGCTGAGGGGACCAGCATGAGCGAGGTGAAGCAGGGGCTCAATGCCAGCAGCTGGAGCAGGACTGTGGGTCACAGCCCTTGTGCCAGGTGTGGGGAGGAGTGTCTGTATCTTTCCCAAACCCTGGATGCATGCATGTAATTTGGTGACAAATGCCAGTCTGGACTAACCAGTAAGTAGGAGGCCATGGGTCTGGTCATGGGTATTAGGCAGGCAGAGGGGTCATGTTGATATTCAGTGGGACCCATGAGTGTGGTGTTGCCTGTGGGATGAGCAGGTGAGTGCAGCTGTTTGCTAACAAGCATCAAGCTGGACTAGCCAGTAGGTAGCAGAACCATGGAGCAGATAAGAAGGCCCAAAATTTGGGCAGGGGTATGGGAGAGAGAGAGAGGCCATGGTCTCTGGGTACTCAATGGATCCATGAACGTGCTTGTGAATCTAGAGTGGGGGTGCAAGTGCTTTCACTACGGAATTTCAATCCTTACCAGCTGAAGAAGAGAAAGGGGAGGTGGCTGTCTGTATTTACACTTTGAGTCATGGTAGCGCTGAAGCTAGGTGCTGCTGAAGGCAGTACCTTTTCTGTTGCAGTCTGTGTAGCTGGCCACATCAGTGTCCTCCGTACATCAGTCTGTTTCCAAGATGCGCACTCAGCCTTGCTACTGTTTCAACCTGCAAATGGAAAATCAGCCTGGGATGGAAAGCCTGGAGTTTCTGGGCTGGGCAGGAGGAATACCGAAGCCACACAACTGCTGGAGGCAGTGCCAGCTCCTAACATCCTTTCACTGTTAATTTCTATGTAAAATAAATTCAGAAAAGTTAAGCCTCTGCTCAGTGTGACCTTTTCCCCTCACCCTTTAAGTCACTTTGTACGTGACTGAATACTAACAGCTAGCTAGTTTGTGTTTTTCTGTACAACCCGAACATAACAGATCCAAATCTAAGTATCTTTTTAATGCAGCATGATGCTCACCTTTGTCAAAGCATGGTTTCTGTGACAGGTGTTACTGTTTCTCCTTATTTTGCAGCTGAGAATCAGAACTTTTAGGAGTGACAAAGGAAAAAAAAATTGAAAAAATCAAGCGCCTAAAACACAGCAATCCCAGTTATTTTTCTTACGTTAGAGAAGTCTGAATAGAACTCTAAGCTCTTTAAAAGATGCAGTGAATTACACAGAAGATGTCTTCTTAAGAGTTTGTGCACACAGGGGTAAGGGTTTATGCAAAACTACAGTCTGGAGACTAAGTTATGTGTAACAGTGACCATAAACAAGGTATCAAATGCAGATGAATGGAAACAAAAGAATACCAAACATTCACAAGAGAGAATTCTACAAGTAGAATTGGCAAAAGCAGCAACACTAGGCCAAACTGCATTGAGTAGGACTTAGTATTTGTGCCTAGGGAAACAGCCTCACGGAGGCTGTGGACCCTGTGGCAATGGTCAATTATAATGCCTCTGGAGACTGTTTCATTCCTTTCCTTTAAAAGAAAATGTTTTCTGTATGCATATGCTATGACATCATCACTGTGTAATGATGATGATCTGTTACGTAACAGTACCTTCTTTTCTTGCATTTCCTTCTCTTAATTTTGTGTTGTGATGTAGTGTTCTCATACCCTGAAGACAAGGGTAAGAACACATTGCACAAGACAGGTACAGTATATGTTAGGAATCTCAGCTTGGCATAAATTTTATTTTACAACTTGTTTTACAGAAGTTTAGGCAAATCTTTTGATGTTTTGGAAAGCATGCCCTCTTTCAATACCATTCTGTATATCATAACTTTTAAGGAGATCAATGACTACTTCTATAAAGTCAGATCCCCTGAGAATCTATTACTTTTCATAATGGCAAATTAGGGAAACAAAACCAGTTTAGAACTATTAGAATTGTATTCACTCACTGAATTGTTCAACTAATAAATACAATGATTTTCATGCAACTCAAGATTTGCAAAATACTTTGCCTACAATCCTGTTTGCACTTCCTGTCCCACAAAACAGAACTTTTGACCTTATTATTCTTTTGGTTTTGAGCCAAAGTATGAACCGGTTAACACTTTCCTGCTATCCAGCAAAGTCATTCCTTAAACTATGCTAGTAGCTCAAAACTTATTTCTCTGAAAATATAAACATCTAGTTTACTTCATATTCTGTACTGCTGGAAACACTTTCTGCACAGGTAGATGTTGGTAATTCTACTGCTAATGTTACTACTAGATTTCCTGTACCCAAGCGTGGTGTTATTGAAAAAACAATGTATGCTTTCTATAAAAAAAGAGAACTTAGACGACAGGAAGCACCCTTCTAGGTGTCACGGATGAAACAGAATAAACGGCAACCTCTAGTGGATCTGGATATTGGGGTTTATTTTAGAACTAATGAGACCAGAGCTTTTATCTTCTTATTTCGCACTTACTCACTGGCTTTCTCCCAGGTGCATTACCTAGGTCTCAGCTTCCCTTCCCAGCAGTGAGATCACTGCTGGTCTGTGAAACAGGAGCAGAAAGTTGTGTTGGTTCTGTGCTGTGCAGCTGCTCGCAGTTACCAGTCTTGGGCATTACAGGTCAAGGCCTCTGGGCATCCCCTGGCATTCATTTCCATGCAGCTCTCCGAGCCCCTGATCTTCCCCCACTTCCAGGATCCCTCCTCCAGCTGACATCTTCACCTTCTTTCTGGGCCCTTCCTCCTTCCAAGACTCCTCCTTTTTTTCAGGAACCCTTCTTTTTGGCACCAACTCTTCTTCTGAGAATACCAAGCCCACAATTTTCCCAGTCTAAATATTTTATGTGCTGAAACACAACATTGGCTTCCTAATTGGTGGTTCTGCCTTGTATCTCTTTATTAAAAATGTATTAACTTTAGTTTAGTCCAGGTGTTATCAAAATTCACAAGCAGCCCATACTGGTTGCAGCTAGCAAGTAGCAGGCTTCTGCCTGGGAGCTCAAAAGTGCCTCTGGGAGGCATCAAGAAATTATGCAAAATTCTCTTTATATAGAAACTCCATTTCTGCACAGAGGTGTAACTCTCCAAATGGAAGATATTGCACAGATTAATCAAACAAGAATTCTTTATTTTAACCCCTCAAGGCAGTAAAATACAAGTATACAAAAAGTATACACAAAAGTGGCAGTGATAATACAACTTGATGCAATGCTACAGAAATGTAATCCAGAGTGGACTGCTTCATCAATATACATATCTGTAAAATATTGCACCATTTCAAAGAGGGAGCACTCAGGAAGAAAGTATTTATAGTCCAGGGAGGTACAACAGCCCCTAAACGGGTATCTTAAATTTCAGAGTAAGGCACTAATTGGCAAGTAGGATCCTTGTTCTGTTTATCACATGTGTGTAAGATAAGTGCAAGATGCATGTTAATGTTGCACCTTTGTCAGCTGGAGGAAACACAGACTTCATTTTCCTAGGTAGAAGAGTAAAAAAGCACATGCCTAATTTTCCAGCCTCCCTCCATATCCCTTTGTACTTCTTATTCGTAATTCTATCTTGAAAAAATATTTTAAAAGCCACACTTACATAAAAAGAGTAAGCCAGGAACTATGCCAACTTACTGATACAAAATGGAGAAGACAGAGACTCGAGTGAACAGACTGTCCATATGTAACCCAGTATACCTGGATTTAGGCTCTACCACAAAAAGAGAACAATGCCCATCTCCCACGTCACATCAAATGGGAGTAACTGCAACTGGACACAAGCAAGAGACAAATTACAGCATGAAGAGACTGTGTAGGAAATTTCTAAAAGTGATGGATTATGCCACAACATTTCTTATTAACCAGTTGAAATGACACTTTGCAAACAATATTAGCTGAACAGCTTTAAATGATCATGGCTGAAGAAAGAAAACTCACATAACGGTAATAATGTGAAACTGTTCTCTTTCATTTAAAAGGGAAACAAACTGCAGTGATAAATAATCCAAGCAACACACTTCGACTGTAAAGAACCACCTTGAATATTTTTGTTATTTAAACAAAAGACAAAAGATCCTTTTGTACAAGCCTGTAGGGTTTCAGAGATTCAGTTGTACATTGCATATTTATAGATTCCTGAGAAGTTGCTGGATTGAATGCTTTGTCTGTTGTGACACACAGGTACTATGGCAAACAAATTCCTTAAAAGTAATATTCCATGCAGTTGTTAACTCTTGGGACTAAGGAGAGCTAATCTAGAATTTCTAGATTCAAAACTATTTCTGGGGCAGTTTATGGAGGCTTATTTGTCTGTATAAGAAATCCTGGATCTCTGTGTGTTTTGCTGATAACCTGGGATGTCTTGTAGTTCTCTTGATAACTTGGCTACAGAAGGAATGTGCAAAAACAGACTTTTAAGCGATCAAGATGGATAGGGAAGTGTCAAATACTTAAAACAATAACCTTCCATTTGAGAGAGGGGAAGGCTTCTCCTTCACAAGGGAGCCCTTTTCTAATGTGCACAGGAGCTGACTGTCCTGTATGAAGAACCAGGCAGAAAGTATTTAAATATTTTAAAATACAAGCATAAGATAAGTAGCATTTTATGAATAATTTTCCTTTCAGAAAGGCTTAACTTTTTAAAAAATTGTATGAATAGTCTGTTTCCCTTTTCACATTCACTTTGCTTACAAATATCCTTATGTCTTCTTCCAAAGGATTTTCCCACTTCTTCCCAGTTCCAGTGCTGATCCACTTTCCATCAATTTCTATACATATGGAATAAGTCAGGATGTTAGAATTTTAAACCCTGAACTGAATCAGATTCCAGAAAGTTGCCAGATTATTTTAGACAAAGACATCAAGAATTGGACTGGCAGATATAAACAAGCATTCCTTGTGCATCTGATGTCACAGCTCATAAGAATGAAAATGTAGACATCCATACTTAAAGTTCAGCTTTGGCAGTATCTCTCTTCCAACAGAGCTGGCAGGGTTATTTTCCTGGCAGATAACCAGGAAACAGGTAAAGGTCCCGACAGAGTGTGCTACAATATTCTGACATTTCCTTGCAGCGGTGAAATTCTGTGCCTGGGGCATAACCTTCTCGTTGCTTGATTTGCCTATTCACCTAGATGTGAGATTAAAAAAAAAAAAACAACACAACAAAAAACTGGAAGGATTAAGAAGACAGAAGTAAGAAAACTGTCATTGCTTTCTGTACTTGTAGATTATTCTGTTTAACCTCTTAAGTAGTCCCCTACATATTGTCTTTCTAAATTATAAGAAGGATAAAGAACTAGGGTGCAGTTCCACAGCAGTTCAAGTTGCTGTGGTCACGCTGTTGTATTCACTCCCTCTTCCCCCACTTTCTTAATCTTTCCCTTATGCAAGTGCAAGCTATTGTGCAGCTATGTGGTGAGCCAGTCCAGAGAATGAATCCACCTGAAAAAAAGCTATATCTATAGAAGAAAAGCAATTCTTGGCAAGCCAGATTAATTCTTCTCCTAAGTTCACCATGCGACCACACAAATGAAATGGAAGGAGTCAAAGAAACAGCATTTTTACTTTTGTTAAACTGCTGTGGAACTGTATAAAAATATATATATAAAAAAGAACAGGGAAAGAAGTGATAATTTTGCTACAAACAAGGCAAGAACAATTGCTTTAATAGTAGTTTAATCCTAGCAATTTAAAGCACTGGAAGGCTCCTCAGAAACCAGGTAAGTGTAGGAGAGGAAAGACACTGCAGCTCACCTTCACCAACATGTCAGCTACATGAGTGTCTCGGGAGTCCTCTGCAAACACAGAGGTGAGAGCCTCAATATACCAGGATCCACGCTTGGTGTTTCGCATGGCCGCAGTGCCTGAGAAGAAAGCGTGTAGGATGAAGTTTCCGGGGAACACAGACACATAAAACCTACTTATGTCCTAACAATTAGGGCCTCTCTCCAGTACCTTTCAGACAAGCATATCCACAAATCATATCAGAGCATGTAGGTAGACGCAGCTTGAGATTTTCTTCCTTGTTTGCATCACTTTCCTCACAGCCTGAGGAATCTGACCATTCTTTCCCATCTCTTTGATCCACTCCCCGGTCCGTCTCATCTGCAAAGGCAATAAACAAGGAAGGGGAGGGGTGGAGGAAAAAAAAAAATAAAGAAAGAAATTATCCTGAATTACTGGATACAGTTTTCCTGTACTTCCTTAGTTTTGGGATCTGCTCAGCAATGCCACAACTGCTGTCAAGCAGAAAGCTGTTGCAGGAACTTTAATCTTTTTTAGCTATTTTTAAAACTCATCTGAAAGTTCTTCTGCACAAACTAATGCCGATACCAACAAGTGCTCAACCTGCTCAACCTAACGTGACTGTTAGTCTGCATGCTGATTGATCTTTTCCCGCCCCCCCCCACTCCTTTCCTATGCAGATCATTGGATAACTGGACAGCAAAGAAATTTCTCAGTAGTTCTTCACCATGCATGGAAGGATTTGATGCCTAGCCCTAAAAGTTTCTATTTTCCACTTTTACCTACCTTCAAATGTCCAAAAATGTCTAGTCTAGTTTGCAATGCTAACTACCTACTTATTGCAGAGCTCAAGTAAGAGCTATAATTTTAGTTGCTAAGGTCTACCTCCAAGACATCAAGAAAACATGGACCAAATAACTCACCTAGTTCTAAATCCTGACTATAATATCACTTGTTTCAATCAAAAGCATAAATTGTGCAATAGTAAAATGCAAAATAATTTCAGCCCCAACACGAGAGAGAACTCCAGTACATGGAGATTAGTTTAAAATCTGGAAAACATTTAATGTCCTTTCCAGGATTGATTAGTATTGTATTGTGACAAGTATAGAAATTCTTAATTGGTTGTTTACATGATGCAGTTTCCACTGTAATCTAGACTAACTACTTAGTGGCAATAACTTTAATAGTCCAGCTATGTTGTAAGAAAAAAAACCCTACATTTTACAGGTTTCCTATATAATTCTGCACTTTTGTTCTTTTGTTGCAAGATGAGAATCTACTATTTTACTTACTTCCTAACAGCATGTGTCAGATTCTAGTCTTAGGAGGCATAAGCATCCACTTCAGAGGCCCTCCTGTTATGATGGCTCTAGGTTCTTGTTGCCAGGTTATGCCTAAGAAATGCAATTTGGATTTCTAACCCTTTTACAGGCAGTGGCACTGATGGCATCTCGTAATTATGCACAGCAAATGGTCAGTTTGTAAGTCAGCAATATTACTGTTCTCCTCCAAAATGAAAGCAGCAGTGGGAGGGGTGTGATTGTCTGACAGGCTAGATACAGCCTGTAATTAAGGCTCCATTGCTCAAAATTTCACAATTACTCCCATAAAGTTCTTTCATCATCTCTTTAAAGGTAGCAATGCAAATTTTTCCATTTTTAACCACACTTTTTTCATGTCTTTTATCACACTTCTCCAAATCCTTTTAGTTCTGTATCTTCTTAAAAATTCAGTGTACTGTTCAGTGTATATTATTTCAGGTAAGACTCAGGTAATTTTACAGTCAAGCTATATTATTCACGCTGTCATCATCCCAAATGTATAAAGTCAAAACCTTTTTGATTAAAGCTTCAGAATCAGATGTCTTCCTCGTGCTTTTGTCTTCAAACACCATTCCTGTCAACTTACCAATGTAACTAAAAAGTGTAAAGCACTAACCTTATCAGGATATTCCTCTGCATATTTAACCTCTAATTTATATCACCAATAACTGCCACCCAGATTGATCCAGTCTGTTTAAATTTTACTGAAGCTCCCAGATTGCTGTTTTCCCAATTGGTTTCAGTCATTATTTACCACAGTTCTTCACTTTTCTGGATCAACTACTATATTAAACACAGATGTTAAGCAGCTTCAAAGTCTCATTTTATGTCATAGTGAGGTCTGACTATTTTTCTTTTCCCATTGCTTTCTGTTGCCACTGGTTTTTGACCCATGACTGTAGGTGGACTAACTACTTCAATTCTTTAGTAGACTCCTACTGAAGGCCCTTTGGAAATTAAGTAGATTATTACCAACTCTTGTTTATCTACATTTTTAATGTATCATTAATAGAAGATAGATAAAGCCCATTACATAAACTTAGGGAAAAAGAATAACCTGTGCATTTCTCATTTTGTTTCAACTGGTTCCAGCTAACTTCCATGGCACAGAGAGACTGACTACTAACCTAAAGTTGTCCACACTGTTTATACAGTCTTTTAAATGCTGCTTTTTTTTAAAAAACAAATTGTATTGGCTAGTCTAACCTTTGAATGCTGACATGAAATGGTACACTTTTTTTGTTGACAGCTCAATTACTTTGTAACTGGCTTTACCCTCCAACTACTAATCAAGGTTTAAAAGACAGGTTAAAAAACGCAGTTTTGTGCTTTTTTTTTAAATTAAAGAAACATCTTTCCTTCTCAGTTGCTCAAGCGTCAATCCTTTGACTATAGAAGTACCCCAGTTCTGCAGCATTTTGTATAGCTTGCTTAACTGAAACCTTTTTGGGAATAGGAGGGCCAAACCTGATTTGCTGATGTGAACAGACCCATTATGGTAACATCACAGTCAAATAAACCTAACTGCCTAATCAGGTCAGCTGCCACTTCTGGCTTATTACACTTATTTCCACACTTTTATGAGTCTGCATATTCAATCTGTTCAAGAGTTTCTGTCGCTTGTACTGGAGGGCAGCGGAGACAGCAAATGTCTTCGGTGTGACCAGGTAGATGATCTCCTCAGCCTGGTGGCAGAGCTGAAGGAGGAGGTGGAAAGGCTAAGGAGTATCAGGGAGTGTGAGAGGGAGATAGACTGGTGGAGCCACACCCTACCATCCCTGGGGCCAAGGCAGCAGATGGAGGCCCCACAAGGAGCAGAGGATCCCCTACCCTCTTGCCAGCAAGCAGAAGGAGGGGATCCAAGAGATGGGGGGGGAATGGAAACAGGTCCCTGCCTGGGGAGGCAGGTGAATCCCCTCCTGGCCTCCCTCACCTTCCCAGCTGCCCTTACACAACAGATATGGGGCTCTGGAAGTTGAGGGCCAGGCAAGTGGGGAGGTAGGTGAAGGTGAAGGTCCAGCCAGGGGGTTGCTGAGGGCCAGTCAGTCACCCCCATGGATTACGACTGCCCCCGTTAAGAAAAAAAGGAGGGTAATTGTGGTAGGTGATTCCCTCCTGTGGGGAACTGAGGGCCCAACCTGCCGTCTGGACCCATCCCACAGGGAAGTCTGCTGCCTCCCTGGGGCCTGAGTTAGGGACGTTACTATGAAACTCCCCGATCTCGTAAGGCCCTCCGATTATTACCCGTTGCTGGTTGTACAGGTTGGCAGTGATGAGATTACAGAAAGAAGTCCTAAAGCAATGAAGAGGGACTTCAGGGCACTGGGGTGATTGGCTGCAGGATTGGGAGCGCAGGTAGTGTTTTCCTCAATCCCATCAATGGCAGGGAAGAATGCTGAAAGGAATGGGAAAACTCACCTGAATAACAGGTGGCTCAGAGGCTGGTGCCATCAGTGGAATTTTGGGTTTTTTGATCATGGGGAGGTTTACATGGCACCAGGCCTGCTGGCGGCTAATGGAGATCAGCTGTCTCCAAAGGGGAAAAGGATTCTCACCCATGAGTTGGCAGGACTCATTGAGAGGGCTTTAAACTAGGTTTGAAGGGGGAAGGGGATATAAACGGGCCCGCTAGTGAGGAGCCCGGGGGGGGCATGGCAACACTGGGGGCGAAATCGATAGCCCATCTCAAGTGCATGTACACCAATGCACGTAGCATGGGCAACAAACAGGAGGAGCTGGAAGCCCTTGTGCAGCATGATGGTTAGGACATAGTCGCCATCACAGAAATGTGGTGGGACAACTCTCATGACTGGGGTGCTGCACTGGATGGCTATAAGCTCCTTCAGAAGGGACAGGGAGGGAAGGAGAGGTGGTGGGGTGGCTCTGTATGTTAGGGCATGTTTCCACTGTATAGAGCTCAACAGTGGTGATGATAAGGTTGAGTGCTTATGGGTAAGGATGAGGGGGAAGGCCAACAAGGCAGATGTCCTGTTGGGAGTCTGCTATAGACCACCCAACCAGGATGTAGAGATAGATGAAGTGTTCTACAAGCGGCTGGCAGAAGTCTCGCAATCCCTAGCCCTTGTTCTTGGGGGGGGACTTCAACTTGCTGGACATCTGCTGGAAATACAACACAGCAGAGAGGCAACAGTCTCGGAAGTTCCTAGAGTGTGTGGAGGATAACTTCCTGACACACCTGGTAAGTGAGCCTACCAGGGGAGGTGCCTCACTTGACCTGCTGTTTACAAACACAGAAGGACTCATGGGAGATGTCGTGGTCGGAGGCCAACTTGGGCTTAGCGACCACAGTATGATAGAGTTCTCGATTCTTGGCGATGTAAAGAGGAGGGGCAGCAAAACTGTTACCATGGACTTC